CACAGAGAGAAATACTTAAAGCTGAGTAAAGACAAATCACAAAGGGAATAGTGTTAGACCACCATCAGGCTTCTTACCTGCAATGACTAAAGTCAAAGGAGTAACATTTAAATACTGAAGGAAATGGTCAACCTAGAATTACACGCCTATATAGAAATTGCCGAAGGAATTAAAGAATATGGAACTTAAAATCACTAACAGAAGACCGAGCGCAGTGGCTCACGCCTGTAATCCCAGCACTGTTGGGAGGCCAAGGCAGGCGGATTATCTGAGGTTGGGAGTTTGAGACCAGCCTGACCAACATGGAGAAACCCCATCCCTACTAAACATACAGAATTAGCCAGGTGTGGTAGTGCATGCCTGTGATCCCAGCTACTCGGGAGGCTTAGGCAGGAGAATCACTTGAACCCTGGAGGCGGAGGTTGTGGTGAGTCAAGATCACCCCATTGCATTCCAGCCTGGGCAACAAGAGCGAAACTGTCTCAACAGCAACAAAAAAAAAGCAAAGAAGAAATAAAATAAATGGAAAAAGGAAATGCATGGCTTAGAAAAGACAATCACAAAAATAAGTATAAACTCATACACAGAATTTTATAAAGATCTACATGTAAAAAAAAGCAGCATATGACAAAAGATGCAAACCAAACTAGGCGGCTTAAATCAGTGTAGACTTATGTCTCCTGGGACCATAAGGCTGGAGTCAAGGTGTCAACAGGGTTGGTTCCTCCTGCAGGCTCAGAAGGAGAAAGAGTCCTGTGCCTCACCCTTAGGTCTTGGTGACTGCCGACAATCCTAGACGCTTGCAGGCTAGCAGATGCATCGTCCCAGTCCCCGCCTCCACCTTCACATTGCCTTCTATGGAACCTGTGCCCTCTCTTTTACTTATAAAAACACTGGTCATTGGATTTAGAGTCCATGCTAAATCCAGGGTGGTTTCACTTCAAAATCCTTAACTAATGACATCTAGAAGGACCCTATTTCCACACGAAGTCACATGTTGAGGTTTCAGGGGGACACTGTTCTACCCATTACACATGGCGATAATCATGTTCTTGTCTGCCTGCTCTGATGAAGCAAGCTGCCATATTGTGAGCTGCCTTGTGGTGAGACCCACATGGCAAGGAACTAATGATAGCCTGCAGCTCACAAGCAGCAAGGAACTGAATCCTCCCAGCAACCACGCGAGCGAGCTGGAAGTACATCCTGCCCTGGTCAAGTCTTTAGGTGAGGGCACCCTCCCAGGAGACACCTTGATTACAGCCTTGCAAAAGAGTCTGAGCCAGAGAGCCCAGCTAAGCTACACCTGGATTCCTGACTCTCAAACTGAGATACCAAATGTTTTAAGCCAGGAAGTTTTAATGCAGTTTGTTACATAGCAACAAATAACTAACATATAAAGTGTATAGCACTGAAAAAGAATGAAACAGAGCTACAGATGTGGACTGGGTGAAAGATTAAGAATAATATTGGATGAGAAGGCAGAATTGCACTGTGATACAATTTGTGCAAATTTTTTGAATACCCAAAACAATACACTATTGATTATGTAAAAATAGGAACATTAAAATTCAAATATTCAGGAAATTTACAAATACCGTGAACTCACTCGAACAATACCACCTAGCCTCCTGGTATACACAGAGACGAGACTGAAAAGTCTTTCTTCCAAACTCCCTTGTACCCAAGATTTCGGTCTAATTTAGGTTTACTTGTCAGATGGCATTTGTCCAAGACTCTGATTCAGAACTAGTCATAAATGGAAAAAAGCAAAGGTCCACATGGGGCATCAATTCTGAATGTCAGAAATGGCATTCTAGACCCAGCAGCTGTAGCGACAGCTCCCCGATTGTGGTAGGAACATCCAGGCCTTGGAGCCACAGCAATAGCCTTGGCAGCCCAGCCCGAGGGGTGGTTTTAGGGAGACCCTCCAGGAAACAGTCAGGAGTCCATTCCTTCCGTTCTGGCACTGATATCCCTTCAGCTTAAACCAGCTAGAGGAGTTCTCTAGTCTCACAATTAAGGACTCTGATCAAGACAAGAAGTATATACCCCAACTCCGCAGTGGCAGCTACCTGTGGAGGCTGGGGCGGGGTCTGGTGCTCAGACCTTCAAAGGGAACTATCAGTATATTTTCTAGTTTTGAAATAATATACAAAGCTGAGTTCGGGCGCAGTGGCTCATGCATATAATCCCAGTATTTTCAGAGGGTGAGGCAGGTCGATCACCTGAGGTCAGGAGTTTGAGACCAGCCTGGCCAATATGGTGAAATCCCATCTCTACTAAAAATACAAAAAGTTAGCCAGGTGTGGTCGCAGGCACCTGTAATCCCAGTTATTTGACAGACTGAGGCGGGAGAAAGCTTGAATCTGAGAGGCAGAGGTTGCAGTGAACCGAGATTGTGCCACTGCACTCCAGCCTGGGACAGAGCAAGACTCCATCTAAAAATAAAATATATATATGGGATATACATATCAGTTGCAGGGGCTCACAACTGTAATCTCAGCACTTTGGGAGGTTGAGGCAGGTGAAGCATGAGGTCAGGAGATTGAGACCATCTGGCTAACATGGTGAAACCCTGTCTATACTAAAAATAGAAAAATCAGCTGGGCATGGTGGCTCACACTTGTTATTTGTAATCCCAGCAACTCAGCCGGCTGAGGCAGGAGAATCACTTGAACCCAGGAGGCAGAGGTTGCAGTGAGCCGAGATAGCGCCACTGGGCTCCAGCCTGGCAATAGAACTGTCTCAAAAAAAGAAAACAATAAGTAGACACAGAAAAATGGTAACATTTATTCAGTCTACTGGTGAGTACACTGATTTTGTTTTAAAGGCAGTTAGGGCCAAGACAGCTAGGATATTTTCTTTTCTTTCTTTGACACAGGTCCCTGTCGCCCAGGCTGGAGTACAGTGACACAGTCAGGCTCACTGCAGCTTCTGCCTCCCAGGCTGAAACACTTCTCCCACCTCAGCCTCCTGAGTACCTGGGACTACAGGCCCATATTTTAAGTAGAGAAAGTAGTACACAAAACGGAGGCCACATGAAAAAAATAAAATCAACTATAAAAGTCAAAAAGTTTTATGTGACAAATCACAATATGTCAAAAAAAAAAGCAGGGAAATGTTTATAATTCATTTTATAAAACATTCCATAATACTGATTTTTATATAAGGAAATCAACAGTACAGTAGAAAAAAATTTTAAAATGATATAAAAAGTTTGTAGAAGAACAAAAGGTTCTTAAAGTTTATGCTAAACTTCACTGATAATTGAAATGCAAATTAGAACAAATTTGAGAGATTGTTCACCTTTAAGATGAGTAAAGAATAAAAAGTTTGATAATATAGTATATAAGAAAGTGTGGGCCAGGTGCGGTGGCTCACACCTGTAATCCCAGCACTTTGGGAGCCTGAGACCAGCAGATCATGAGGTCAGGAGTTCTAAACCAGCCTGCCCAACATAGTGAAACCCCATCTCTACTAGAAATACAAAAATTAGCCAGGTGTGGTGGCACGTGCCTGTAATCACAGCTACTCCTGAGGCTGAGGCAGGAGAACTGCTTAAACCCAGGGGGTGGAGGTTGCAGTAAGCCGAGATCGCACCACTGCACTCCAGCCTGGGGAAAAAAATAAATAAATAATAACGTGTGGAAATGACATGGCAGGTGAGCGTAATTAGTACAACCTAATTACAAATTTGCCAAATCTATCCAAATTATAAATGTACATAAATTGTGACCCGGCAATTCTACTTCCAGGATTTTAGCCTAAAGATATTTACACATGTGGGAAATAATACATCTAAAAATTATTTATGGCAGCCCTACTTATATTAGTAAAAGACTGAAAACAAGCTGTCTATCATTTAAGAAGAGTAAGTAAATAAATTACAGTATGACCATACAATGGAATACTACGCAAGTGTAAAAAAGGAGGAGGAGACTTTTATTTTCCAGTTCCGCATGTGAGGAACTTGAAAGTCACCACTTCATTCTAACAAGTACAAAGCTGAACAGCCTGAAAAATCAACAACTCTTGCTAGATCTGTGAGAAAAGTGAGGATACTGGGCAAACTGCTGCCCCAAAGATAGGAGAGACCAACAGGCAAATATAGGAAATTATATCTTTCTGGAGCAGAGATTCCTGAGTCAAAACCACCGTCGGAACCAGTGCCAGGGTAGAAAAACCTGATCAGTAAATTGAAGAACTGCTGGAGGCTCAGTGTGGACAGTCCAAGAATTAAAACTCCAGGAGAACCAGTCATAAGGGGTAGCGCCTCTGCACTTTTGTGAATTTTACCTCCAACATCTTGACAATTCTCACAGTAAATATAACAAAAATTCCCTCATACTTCCAGCAAAGAGAGGGGAAAGCACTGTTTTGTTTATAGCAAAACCACTGTAAATAAATGAAAAGTGCTTTTGATGGGATCATTAACAGACTGGATATGACTGAGGAGTAAATGTCTCAGCTTGAAGACATGTCAATAGAAACCTACACAACTGAAAATTAAAGAGAAAAGGGCTCAGAAAACATCCAGGGACTGTGCAGCCAAAAAGCTGTAATACACATGTAATAGGACTACCAGAGGGAAAATCCAAAAAGAAAAGAACAGAAGAAATATCTGAGGCCAGATGTGTTACCTCATGCCTGTAGTCCCAGGACTTTGGGAGGCCAAGGTAGGAGATGACTTGAGGCTAGGCATTTGAGACCAGCCGGGGCAACATAGTGAGATCCCCGCCTATAAAAAAATAAAAATTTAAAAAGCCGGCTGGGCATGGTGGCTCACACTTGTAATCCCAGCACTTTGGGAGGCCAAGGCAGGTGATCACTTAACGTTGGGAGTTTGAGACCAGCCTGACCACCACGGAGAGACCCTGTCTCTACTAAAAATACAAAATTTGCCAGGTGTGGCGGCGTGCACCTGTAATTCTAGCTACCTGGGAGGCTGAGGCAGGAGAATCGCTTGAACCCGGAAGGTGGAGGTTGCAGTGAGCCAGGATCGTGCCATTGCACTCCAGCCAGGGCAACAAGGGCAAAACCTCATCTCAAAAAAAAAAAAAAAAAAAATTTAAAAAGCCAGGCCAGGCACGGTGGCTCACACCTGTACTTTGGTAGTCTGAGACAGGTGGATCATCTGAGGTTGGGAGTTTGAGACCAGCCTGACCAACATGGAGAAACCCCATCTCTACTGAAAATATAAAATTAGCTGGGTGTGGTGGCGCATGCCTGTAATCCCAGCTACTCAGGAGGCTGAGACAGGAGAATCGCCTGAACACAGGAGGTAGAGGCTGCAGTGAGCCGAGATAGCACCACTGCACTCCAGCCTGGGCAGCAGGAGTGAAACTCCATCACAAAAAAATAAAATAAAATAAAAGTCAGGCATGGAGCTATGCCTGAGGCTGGGGGATGACTTGCCCTCAAGAATTCAAGCCTACATTGAGCTATGATCACACTACTGTAATCCAGCCTGGGAAACAGAGCGAGAGCCCTAGGGAAAAAAAAAATTGAAACAATAATGACGGAAAATGTCCCCGGCCTGGTGCCTCCATCTGTAATCCCAGCAGTTTGGGGGGCTGAGGCAGGCGGATCATGAAATCAGGAGTTGGAGACCTGGCCAATGTGGTGAAACTCCATCTCTACTAAAAATACAAAAATTAGCTGGGCGTAGTGGGGTGCGTCTGTAGTCCCAGCTACTCTGGAAGCTGAGGCAGGAGAATTGCTTGAACCCGGGAGGCGGAGGTTGCCCTGAGCTGAGATCAACACGCTAATTTGTAGGGCGAGGCATTCAGGCCATAGCAGAGACGTATCACTATCAAACTATAAAAATTGAAAGTAAAGAAAAAGTTCTGAAATAAACCAGAGGACAAAAACACCTTACCTATAGAAGACCAAAGACAAGAATTACATCTGACTTCCCCTCAAGCAGGAAGAGTGGAGGGAAATAATGTTGAAAGAAAAAAGCCACCAACCTAGAATCCTGAATCTTGAGAAATTATCCTTCCAAAAGGGAAGATGCTAATGTTACACATAACTTTAAAAAAACAGCAACAAAAACTAGACATGGTTTGTAGGGGAAAAAAATGGAAGGAGAATTAAAGGCTCTCTCAAGCCAACAAAAATTGAGGGAATTGTTGCTATTAGACCTGCCTTGCAATAAAAGATGTTAAAAAAAAGTTCGTCAGCCAGAAGAAAAATAGCATATGCCAGAAACTGAGATCATAAAGAAAGGAAGAATGTCAAAGGAGGAATAAAGGTAAAATAAAAATGTATTTTTCTTCTTCTTAACAGATAAGTTCCGCTAAATAATGATAGCAACATGTATTTGATGACGCCTGGCTGTGTATATCGACGCGTAGACATGTGCTTACGTGTGCTTACATCTGTGAAAGGAACGACAGCAAGGATACAAGGAATGGGAGGAAAACATTGGGATTATTTTCTTATCATACGGAACTCATAGTGCCCAGGAAACAATTTAGTATTACCTGAAAGTGGGTTTGGATTTGTTGTAAATTTATGTTGCAAACTATGGCCACCACTAAAACAAAAGTGAGAAGAAGTTTAGCTTATATGCTGACAAAGGAGAGCAAACTGAATCATATAAAATGCTCAACTGAAACAATAAAAGGCAGAAAGTGAGTGGAAGACAAAAATAGAAACAAAGAACAAGGGCAGCAAATAGAAAATAGAAGCAAACCTAGAAGATACTGATCTAACACACTAATAATCACACTGAACGTCAGCGGTCTACATGAACCCACTAGAAGACAGAGAGTGTCGGAGTGGATCAAGAAACAAGACACAAGTACACATGTCTACAAGAAACTCTTTAAATATAAAGCACACAGATGAGGCTGGGCATGGTGGCTCACACCTGTAATCCCAGAACTTTGGGAGGCGGAGGCAGGTGGATCACCTGAGGTCAGGAGTTTGAGACTAGCCTGGCCAACGTGGTGAAACCCCATCTCTACTAAAAATACAAAAATTAGCCACACATGCTGGTGGGTGCCTATAATCCCAGCTACTTGGGAGGCTGAAGCAGGAGAATAGCTTAAACCCAGGAGGCGGAGGCGGCACTGAGCCAAGACCGTGCCACTGCACTCCATCCAGCCTGACCAACAAGAGTGAAACTCCATCTCAAACAAAATTGAAAAACCACACACACACAGATTAAGTACATGGAGAAAATATGCTACACTAACACTAATCAAAAGAAAGCAAGACCATCCTGGCCAACATGGTGAAACCCTGTCTCTACTAAAAATACAAAAATTAGCTGGGCGTGGTGGTCCACACCTGTAGTCCCAGCTACTCAGGAGGCTGAGGCAGGAGAACTGCCTGAACTTGGGAGGAAGAGGTTGCAGTGAGCCAAGATCTCGCCACTGCACTCTAGCCTGGTGACAGAGTGAGATTGTCTCAAAAAAAGGAAAAAGAAATGAAAAAGCAGGAATAGTTATATTAATTGCAAACAAAGCAGACTTCAAAGCGGGGGAACTTATCAGGGATAAAGAAGATCATCGGATTATGATAGCGATCATTTCTCCAAGAAGACGTAGCAATCCCTAACATGTATATACCAAACAACATCAAACTACGTGAGCCCAAAACGGATAGGACTGTAAGGAGCAAAGATGAATCCACTATTACAGTTGGAGAGTGCAGCACGCTTCTATCAGACGTGAACAGATTCAAACGGCAGAAAATCAGTAAGGACAGAGTTGACCCTACCACACCATCAGTCACCTGGACGTACTTGACATCTACAGACTAGTTCAGCCAGCGGCCACAGATCACCCTTTCTCCTCAAGCCCACGTGGAACATTCACCAAGACAGACCATATCCTAGATGATAAAACACACTTTAACACACTGAAAACCAGAAATTAGGCCAGGTGCAGGTACTCATGCCTGTAATCCCAGCACTTTGGGAGTCCGAGGCAGGCAGATCACTTGAAGTCAGCAGTTCAAAACCAGCCTGGCCAAAATAGTGAAACCCTGTCTC